AAGAATAAGAAGACATAAATGCCGCCAAAAGGGCGGCCACTGAAGACGAAACCTCACTGGACTACTCAATTGTTAGCTGGAACGTCGGAGAACGTGGTGGTACATGCAGCAAGGATTCAAAGCGACTCCAATTACCTGGCAGCTGCGGCCAAGAGCGTCAATAAAGATGAATCCCCACACCCCTCCTCCTCTTCGCCACGAAGCAGAGGCTCTGCAGTTGACACGGTCGGATGGGATATAGCCGCCTGTGTTGCTGATAGAAGAGATTGCGAACGAACGTTAGTTGTTGAACCCAGGGTGGAAAGAACAACATGTGGAACGAACCATCAACAGCCAGACGCAGGATTTCTGGATCCATCCCAGCTAAACTCACGTGTGCGCGGAGAGTACGGTTGACTTGGCGAAGGTGGGTGTTGCGAGCCTTCTGGCTCTCGAGAACCTTAAGCGTGTCATTGTCGACGTACTTCCCCTTGGAGAGCTTGACCAAGAGGGGATGGAGCTGGCGAGTCTGCTCAGTATTCGCACCGCTAGAATTCTTTACAAAAGTAGGTGAATCAGCACACGATTAGTGTGTGCTGAAATTCTGTCATGCCATTAGCTGATATATGGAGAGCCTGATCCATTGTTAGCCAATTGGACTATGATGTGAATTTGAGTGGCCCGGGCTGTGGCCTTATAAAGTCAGAGTTGATTTTTCCATGAACCTAAGACTCAGTCGTCCTATTGCGAGCTTCCTCACCACTAGGGTATAAGCAGGTAACGGAGTAAATATCTGGCCCGCTACACCCATTGAAGACTTGTACAGCTCACGTTCTCTGGTCAACTTCTTGTTCAAAGTTGTAATAAACACGTCCCGTGCTTAAATTTTGCAATGCAGGCGCTTCAGCTCTTGTGAGTGCTGTTCCATGAAAGACTGTACACTTGAGAGCATGGTATCGTTCTTAGTATTGGACTTGCGGAGAATCTTGCTGTCCATACGGAGAACTTCGACTTAAGCGTTAGCAGCCTTCCGGAATGCATCCGCGCTCTCCCGAGCCATGATATCGGGTACCACCGAACGTACGGCGGCACCAGCTTCGGTCTGGGCGACCCATAACTGACGCTCCAGACTGACGTCTCAGTCAGGCAGATCCGTTAGTGCATCTGGAGGTGGCTGTACGGCGGCGAGATCATCGTCGAAGCTCCCAGCCGTCTCGAGACGACATTCAGTGCGGACATCGCCATGAAGAGGGGGCGCAATATTGAGCTGCGCTTGATGACGAGCCATCGCGGTCAAGTACGGAATAATTGACGTCATCATGTCATTTACTGGCGCCTCCGTACTCTCAGCCAGCATGGTGCGCAACAAATCCTTGCTGAGAGCAACCTGAAGCGAGAAATCGAACCGGCCTATTGTCCATCCACGCCAGAGCGACAAAACGGGATGGTCTCGCCACACACTAATCTGAAATGTTCCCCGCGTCGGCGCTTTAGTTTAAATTCGATAGCTTGCACCAGCCTTTGCGATATTTGCGTATCGTGCCCACATGATATAGATCCATAATGAAGAGCTTGTACGATAACCGAATTGACATGTAGAATTTGTCGGTGCAGATCAGGCCCGGGGACGGCTGTCCGCGTGATACACGGTTAAAATCTTTTAAATCGGATTTCCGTGCAACAGCCTTATATCTGATTTCCGTGCAACAGCTTCTTAAACCGCACTAGCTTTCTTCCAGTAAATTTGCAATCAACTCATACAATAACACATCATTATATTAGATCCGTTATACCCAAATGTTTTTGTCCGGAATATCCCGGACATATTACACCGAGGTTTCGAACGACCCTGAGCCTGTCCCACCTGCTTCGACAGCAACTTCATCAACTGGAACTCCGGTACTTTCTGTTCCGGACACTTCACCTGCTGCAGCTCCCGCAGCACTTCCGGTCGCCACTGAATCCATGGGGATGGCTCCTACGGTTCCACCTCCGCCTGCTAGTGGCTCTCCACCACTATGCAGCTCACACAAGTATCGCGACGCGAACAAGGTGGACGTTTCTCGCAGATGCCGTGTCCATTCCTCGTGCGCTATTACCACTAATCGATCGAAGGCGTCGATGCGAACGACCAGCTAAGACTACTGTGGTTTTCTATTCAGCGATACATCAGAAATCGAAAGTACTACAGAGCGATTTTGCTTGGGCTGGTGGATCTCGCTATGGTAAATGTATTTATTGACCATAAGGTACCAACAAACAAAACAACATTGTACCACCTCATGCCGCTTTTTGCAATGCGCTTACAAGAATTTACTTATCCAAATCAGCGAGGGCTTCAATGCCGTCGACGAGATGGCGGACCTGGTCGCAGGGCCCTTTCCATAGCACGAGCACACTCGTGAGCAGGCGGAGGAGATACGGTGCTAAGCGACGCCAGTGCCTATGCAAGATTTGCTCAGCTTTCGCTGGTGCGGGCGCTCGCAGTTTCGAGGCCATCTACTTCTGCACAATGGGCTCGCGGCATGAAAAGGGGGAAAGCCACTTTGTGCAACAGGGCACGCATGCTAAAACATGGTAGTGCTCTCACCGGCGGGAGATGTGGTACCAGACATTGAAAAATGGACGGCGTTCCCTGCTGACTAGCAGATCATTATTAAGTTCGTCGATAAGCACAGACCGGAGGTCACTAATGAGACCTTGACGAGTAAAGAGCTAATGAATGGAATTTTCAAATATGTTGGACGGTGGTCGTTTGGACGCGTAAATGATGTCTCGTTGAATCATTTACGAGCCGCTTTTGCAGGTTGGTTATGCGTTGGATAGGTTTCATCTCACACATCTTTGTTTAAGCCAAAAGATGTGCTTTTTTCTCGACCTGGTACGCGAAAGGGCTTGATAAAAGAATATAATGTATTTTCCGGAATACGCTAATTTATATGGTAAGAGTTCCGAATACCGGTAAAATATTGGGACTAGAAGGCCTAAAGCAAATGGCCATTAGTACGAACAAGATCCTCACGCGTTTGGGCCCAACGCTCGGAAGCCAATGAGGTTTTAGGAAGAAAAAAAAAACACAAACACATTAATTCGTACGTCGAGAGCCAGTACTATTAATTAAAGACCTGTGTAAAAACGAACGAAATGATTTAGTAAACCACGAGAACAGAAGCAAAAAAGTCCCGGGTGCGTTTCAAGTTAAATCGTAGCGTTTGGAAATCTAAAATCCAGCGTTTATAAATTGAATCGTAGTGCTGCGTCATAGCCGAACTGAAAACGGTGATGTATTATTGCAAAGTAGTATAGTAAAATATCTTCTGGTCCTGAGACCACGGTCATACCGGTACTAAAGTAACATATGATACTGAATAAAGCTCTGCGTTTTTTTACAACGCGTTTTTTACCAGTAGGATAAAAACAATTTCCTTTTATGGGGAGCTTTTGTAGGTCCCATAGAGGAGCAGGGTTGTCGCGGGTTTGATGCCCATCTTATGAGGATGCGTTAATTCCCTGATTTCTTCAAATTTGTTGCTGACGAAATGACTGGCTAGTGCTTAGCTGGAACGACCCGAAGCATGAAACACCAAATTCTAGATTCTTGACTGCAAAAGTGTTTTCATCCGAGGCTGATATGACGGTTTCTCATATTCATTTGTTTAACCTCCAGATAACTGGTTTTACATGTTCAGGTTTTTCAGGTACGTTCTGGAGCTCTGCATCGGCGCAGTGGTTTTGTTGGCAAATCGCGAAATGGCACTCGAGCAACATGTTCGAGCACTTCAAACACCTTTCCGACTCTCTGCACGGTCTCAAATGAACCATTTTCACCCCGAGAGCCAGGTTCTCGATGTTTTACCGATTCGTGATATATCGGGGAACCTTGGTTCGCTTCGTTGCATCTGAATAGTTAGAGCGCTATACATTTAAACAACACCATTTCAGAGCGCGTAGTACTAGAAGGTCGTTCTAAACGATGGGGGTGTTTCATTCGGTATTATACGCTAGCGTCTTAAAGACGCTAACGATTCTACATATTTTCCGATAGTGAATGCATCCGTTTAACTGTAAAAAAAATGCTCGATTGGGGCGAGGCGCCACACTTGCTAGTGGAGCTTCGCATGATTCTTCTTACGTAGTAATACTTGTAGTCGTTCGAAAGGTGACCCGAAGTACTTTTTAAATAGTTGTACGATGCCAATGCACCACAGGACACGTTGATACATCGCGGAGTTATATTACAAGTATTAAAGTAACATTGCTTCAACGAGGCAAAATATTCCCCATAACCAAGCTTCCAGCGTACTACTAGTAGTAATTCTTGTCTATTGTAGTAGTTTGAATTTCGGAGAGTTTATTATCTTAAATGGTGATAATCGACACTCCAGCTTGGCCTGAACTTGCTGGAAAACATCGTTTGTGGGGCCCCGCTCGGCTTGTACCTTACTGACTTCCCTTGCTATAAGCGATAGGTGATGGGCACTGCTCTCGTGTTGCTAATGATTTCACGTGCATGGACCTTATAGCCGACGCTGACATCCTTTTCTGTTAAGACTCGACTTTAGAAAGGAAACGAACATTCGCTTTCAAAACTTAAAGGTATCGCTAAAGATAAAGAACAGGTAAAACTATTCAAAGTACTTGATTGGTCGTAAGAATCGTCGCTCTTGCCAATGAGAAGTCGGTACTAGTAGTACGAGCAATACCATCCGCCGTAAATGAGGTGCATCTCAAAATCCATGAATTCTTCCACTAGAAGTCGACAAGACGAAGTTTTTTTTAAATGTATTTGAGCAAGTGCAGTAGATCGTAGTCCAGACTATTTTGTATCTAGAGTGTATAATATACATATTATGTATGTTGAAATGAACACTTGTAGCACTTTTCGAAGCTGTTGCTGCTAACGCTCTCTTCACGTGAGACTACTTCGCCATGTTTACTTCTTAGACATCGCTTCTTCCGCTTTCTTGGCCGCCGCGATAAGGTGTTGAATTTCGATTTCCTGATTCTTGATGATCTTGTTCTTACTGGGCTAAGGATTTCCAGATGCCACCATTTCCGTCTTCCCGTCTGCTCTGGACGACTTCTTGGCCTGCAACCCGAAGATATCTTTTTGGCACAATATTAGGAAGTGGCTTCGAGAAGAGTCGAGACTCGTCGGGAATTAGGAATGCTGCGACGGTGCTGCTGCGAGCTACAACCGCAATGGCAAGTACAGCGTAGAAAATGCTCCGCATTTCTGTAAAAGGGGGATTACGCTTAAAAGAAGGGCGTTTGTGATCAAAAGAGAAAAAACGCGAAGTGACTGACGAATGTTCTTAGGACTTGTGACGACCGTACCGGTACACTGAGCTAGAGTGGTCTGAGCACCAATGCTAGCGCTTGCCTAAAAGACGGGGATTCTCATTGCATCACCCCGACGTGACGCTCTACAAACCTGCTACTGTACACTGAGAAATGTTTGGTGATTCGTTCTGTAGGCTCGTTTTGACGGAAACTACTCCACCTCCATTTGAAAATACCGTCTCGTCGTGTCGAACTCCCGCTTGGGCTTATAATTTAAGCATACATATTTTATATATTAAATACATGTACAAGAAGAGCAAGCATGACCATTTGACATGAGATTTACCCCTACAAAATCCAAAATAATTGCTACAATTCCGAAATAGAGAGGATGGATGTCACTTGTATCTTTAGGATTGGTTCTGCAGCGGTAAATGCAATTGCTGCGCTCCGACCATAAAACATTTATCTTAATTCAATGTTTGGCTCGCTGAAAAGCTAGGCACACCTTCGTAAATTCCGCATAGCGGGTCATGCGACCTCGCATCTTCTCCGTTTTTAATTTGCACTCGAATTCCTTCCCCCCTGGATTTCAGTCGACACCAAGATTCAACATGTACGGTTTCGGAAAGTTCATGTAAAAAACCTTATGTGGTAGTGTTGTTTCGATCCAACCACAACCGCTATTATTATAGTAGTGCTCTCTCAAGTTTGCTTTGACCGCTCGCCTCCGTTGGTCTTAATTTGCACGCAATTTACCCCCCCCGTCCCGATAAAATTAAGCACTCTATTGTGTATTTGACCGATAGTGGCAAAATGAGATGTATAAGGTGCAAAACCGCGAGCGCTAGCACGCCCTTGAGCTTGTTTTCATTTTTTAAGGCTGCATACCAGGTTTCGAAAAGGTCTAGGGTCGAGAATCTGAGTCGAGAAAATACAAAACCCGGTACCTAACTGGGGTAAGACTGAACACCTTTTTTGCCTAGCTACTTAGGGTTTACCTGGGTACCGTCATGTACCGGTACTGCATATATACGAACACACTTTTCTTATGTCATCCTGAATCAGAATGACCATAAGAAAAAGCATCAGGATGTGATGGATTCATACCGTCGGTACTGTACATTTACATGGTCTATGCACCGACCTATTCGTGCCAAGATTCAAAGCAACTAACGATGCTGCATGAGCTGTCCATACCCCAGGTCAATGGGGAATCGGAAAATTGGCTTCAGAAGTCCCTGAGTGGGCCATTGGTCTTACAAATGTAGGGGGGGCTGCTTTTGCCAATAGAAAACCTGACCGCATATGAGGGCGAACTTAGTATGACATACTTTACTGTGGAGATAAGGCAAGTGTCTGAAAAAATCTCTGTTAACTGCTAACTGTTCAGAATGAATCTGTTTTGGTCAGCGAGCCTACATTCCATGAGATACAACTGCGATAGCGTTTTCACTCGAGTGACGGCGACATAGAAAGATGAACGCTGAGAAATCCTGCGAGTCGGATGACAAAGCGGAGCAAGAATCATTTTCTCTACTGTCAGTCCTCCCTTTGAAATACCCGACGTAGTAATTCGTTTCTTCCTCTGATGTGTGTGATGTGTGTGTGTGTGTGTGTGTGTGTGTGTGTGAGAGAGAGAGGGAGGGGGGCTTACTTACGCGTTACGTCGTAAGGTTGATGTGCATGAGGATACAGTTTAGCCAAAATGAAGAAGCCGCGGTAGAACGTGCGTTGTCGTCCAACCTTGCTGTCTTGACGCGAGACGGAATCCTATTAGTATTCATCTATTCCCTTCTTTAAATCATGTAGTCTTCATTTACTGTACCACCCACCATCGGTGGTATCGTATATTGGAGCAGCATCCACCTAAAACCAGATAGCGTCAATGTTGACCCAGGCGGCTTGGAACGACATTCACCAGTGCTTTTTATGCTTTACCGTAGTTTATTAGGTATTCTGTCCTTTTAGCCTATCACTTGCAAGCCACTATACTTTTAAGAATTACAAATGTAGCACCCTAATATTTTATAGAGGATCGTCGACGATTTTCGATCACCCCTAAAACGCTGGATATGAATATCCAGAGAACATCGACTTGACTACGCGCGCGCGGCGGAGGCTCTCTTTACAGTTAAAGCCTTGAGCAGCGGTTAAGCGCTCTTCTTCTCAGTCTCCCCATCGGCCTTTAGCATGCTCTGTGGTACTGCGAGGAGCGGTGCGAAACCTCTCTCCAAGGCTGCTGCCGGAAAGGCGCAAGCCACGATCACAAAGCCTCACGGCAAAGGCTCTGCACTCCAGGAGGCTACTAAGGTGGACTCGGGGGCGACTGGCTCTTCTGGCGACGCGTCTGTGAGCAAGCGTGCGAGTAAGCGCCGCAGTCCGTCACTTTCGTTCTCTCCAGACAATCAATCGCCTGAGCCCACGGTTTGATGAACGTAAGTTTGACTCGGGCAGTGAGGACGAAGCCGAGTCCTATTACACTCATGATGCTCCTGTGGGCACACTCCAGTGCCCAGCGAGCACGATGACGACAGCGTGCAGTCGCTCGCTAGTGATCACGGTGATCACAGTCTCAGGACGTATGTGCGCTCTGAGAGTCCTGCCGGCAAGGCTAAGGGCTCCCCCTAAGCTGGCGACGAGGCGAAACCTCTTAAACATCGCTCGCTCGCCTAGGGTCTTGCGCGTACTGAAGGCCGCCAAAGCAGAAGACGCCAAGCCCTCTAAGAACCGCACTGTTTCAATGTTTCCACTCCGCGAGGAGAAGGAGGCTTGGTACTCCTATCGAAACCACTTCGGTTTCTCGGATGAAGGAGAAGAGGAAGACGAGGGTGCTATTCACGAGCCCCACGATATCACGAACGACCTCGACCACCAGCAGAAGGACTTTCAAGTTTTCCAGCGCATGAGTGAAGGTCCGGTGGTGGCACCCGTCAACCCGAGAGCTTCCATCATGTGGTGTAGCGGGATCAGCAAAATCTGCGAGATTGCCAGATCCAACTTACCAACGTGCGCCCAGACACCGACTAACGGAGGGGTCCCCCCGATGATCCGTATCCTGCTGAACTTTCCCTCACCTTGTGTACCCATCGGTAGGGCGGGATCTTGCTCTCTCGGTAACTTCCGAAGAGTTCAAGTGGTGAAGCTTTAGTGTCTTGGCGAGACGTGGGGATGGGGTGCAGCAGCAGTGGAAAATCTTCACTCTGCGTCCGTGGATTGTTCCGAATCCTAAGCGAATATTCGAGCTTATGGATCCGGGGTCTAGATCGTGGATCTAGCCGTAGGGTTGCCTTGCGGGTGTGTTCCCTTGCCTTTGTAGTTCCTTTGCGTCGTACTTGCCGCCTCCTGTGACGGGATCTTGAGAGTTGAGAACCTCTAGGGTGTAACCGACCAAGTAGCAAATTCGGTTAACCTGTCGGATCTGCACAAGTAAAGGAAAAGCTCACTAGGTTGTAGGATCTGGCCAATGTATTATCCTGTTATCACTACCAACACTAGATTCGCAATTCCCAACCTTCTCCTAGCTCGTACGGCCAATGTAGTTCCGGTTCTTGAGGGCAGGAAGGCACTTGCGTGTTACTGTGCAAATTGAGGTCTGTATTGATATTTAAGCCTATACCTGCCTGGATTTCTACCTTCTATGTCTTTCACTTGTTAAATCCCTTACCAGGCTCGGCTGCATGTCCCTTCTTCCCTTGACCCATCATCCCAGCTGTGTTATCTTCAGATCCACCGGATCCATGACGTAATCATCATGGTCACCCTATTATGGGTACACTCATCCGAATCCAGGTCGCTGGGATCCACCTCACTGTAATTGTACACTCGCCGGGGATCCGAGCTCTCCAATCATCCAACATCATCTTGCAACCGTCTGTGATCTCCATTGTCCCACAAAAGCTCGAGATCCACTGCATCCATCATCCCTATACCCTGGACCCAGGTCCCTCAAGGCGGGATCCTCCCTCCATGGATCCGAACTCGGAAGTATGGGATCCGGGGTACTTCGCGGTGGATCTTGACTCCTCATTAGCCGTGGCTACTAGATCCATCTTCAGAGGGCACCGACCATTCTTCCTCCATAAGATCCACACCCGATCCACTCTTGTATAGTATATCCCATATCCATTTAAGTGAATCCAGGTAAGGGTGGATCCGAGGTAAGTCTTGGTGGATCTTGCCTTCTCGTACATCGCTCAAACCAGATCCATCGTCATTTCATACGGGGTGCTGCTCGTCATGGCTAATCCACCACCGGCAACTTGCATCCGTGCCACCAACCCATATCCTCTCTAATCACTTGAAATTGTCACTGATTCGGGATAGTGACCCCGCGTCAGGCCCATTCTCTTATTTCTGAGAAAGCACTTCACCACAATCGCCTCCTGTACGTTGTCGGCGCTGCACAACAGCGTTCACGGCGTGCATTACCAGCATCCACAACCGTTTTCTCCCCTTCGCGACACATGTCTCCCGCCAAGCGTACCGGCAAATCGTCGGGCAAGGCCCATCCACCACACCTCCGGTCAGTCCGTCTTCCATGTCGCCCACCGATCTGCGGGTTCTAGCCCAGGCGCTTCTCGATCAGGTGCAAACCCTGACGGCGGAGCTCCAGACTGCTCAAGATGCCCAAGACCAAGCTGCGTCTCTGCACACAACCCAACTTCAGACCTTGCGAGCCCAGGTCCATGACCAGGCTATGGAGATCCAGGGGTGGTAGCACCGTGCGGCCTCTCGTTCGCAGGACCTACGACTCTTGTTGGCTGATCAGGCGGTCGAGATCCGCGACCTGACCGGACGGCTGGATCGCGCCTCCCGTCAACGAGATGGCATGCGAGACGACAACGACCATCTCCTTAGGGAGATGACGCTCGCCGGATCTGAGATCCACCAGCTTCAATCCCGGATCCACGACCTCGAGCGGGATCCGGAGGATTCTCAGACTGCTAGG